GAGCGACTTAAAATTCAGGCAGCAACCCCCTAAACCCTAAACCCCTAAACCCTAAACCCTAAACCCTAACCCCTAGCCTTGCCGGAGACGAGGCCTTTACTCGCATGCCCACCCCTGGGTCGAAACCAGTCCAGGACACCGGGTAGCCGCTGGACTCCTTCAGCGCGAGCATCTGCAAGGCCAAGTCCCACTTCCCGGCACGCGAGAAGGCGCAAATGACGGCATTGTATCCTTGGCTTGTCTTGAGAGCCTCTGGTACGCAGTTCTACTTTGATTTCCTTGCTATTGAGCTATCGCAAGTATGGACCAAGTATCCGAAGTCATCGAGCTGAACACTCTGGTGTTGCATCTGCTCACAGAGTTTCAACGTCTGCTCCCATTGCCTGGTCTCCTCGCAGACTCCGAAGACAGCGCTGTAGGAAATCACATCAGGGCTCAGACCCAGGCTGGGCATCTCCTGCCTCAGATTTCTGTGCTCTGAGTCTGCTTTATGACTACTGTGAGCTTCGGGTCCTGATAGCATCAAAAACAAATCCGAAAAGTCCAAATTTATGCATACTCTATAAAATCAAAAGTCCAAGTCTATACTCCACAGAAGCCTGGTTGCAAAAGCCCAACAGCCTTTTGCGACTGAGCTCCCCTGGCACAGCTGGTGATGCACGCGTTGCAGGCCACCCGGTCTGGTGCCATGGCCAAAGATCGCATGCTCTGCAGCAGGCTCAGCGACTGCTCCCACTGGCCGGAAGCAGCGCATGCACTGATGCAGGCGCTGTATGTAATCAAGTTCTTCTCCACCCTGGTCCGTGTCATCTGAGACAACAGCTCCACCGCAAATTCCCACTGGTGACATTTGTCACATGCACTGATGCAGGCACTGAAAGTTACCTTCGGACACGGGCATATCGCCGCTGGTCTACCAGATATTGCCCTCCTAACGGGACGAGCCTGTGTGTTTTCACGACAACACTCCGACCTTTCGAGTTTCACACCTGCTTCTGCCGCCTGCTGCGACCTTACATTGTTCCCAACTCTATTGACTGCCAGTGTCAGCATACCTCTAAAACATCGAAACCCACAACGCCGATTCATTTCAAATCACTGGACGTAAACACCCCTGAACACCAGCACCCTTCGCCCTCACCAACCCTCAGATCCAGGGGCCGTATTCTGCTCCACGCGCACAGCTTGCATCTGCTGCAGAAGCCCCAAAGCAGGTCTCCATTTTTCGGCCTTTTCGGGCGAAGAGGTGCCATGTGGGGTTTAGGGTTTAGGGTTTAGGGTTCATATAATTCATATAATTAATGAACTAATTCATTTCGCTGCAGGAAGGCGGCAGCTCGCTACCCCTCGAAGCTCCTACAGTGCTTGGGCGCTTGGGTTAGGCTTCCGTCAGTCTGGGACTCAGAAGATCTAGGCGACGGCAGGTGGGCTTAGTGGAGAAAGGGCAGAGGCGCGACTGATCTTTGGCGAGAAATACCTCTGCCCCCTGACCACCACGCCTTGGCACATGCATTGATGCATGCACCAAAGTGGAAAGCGTTCACCTGCATCAACAAGTGGCTACCCGCATTCTTCGGCGCAGATTACGAGTGAGCTGATGCCTGGCTCTGTTTCACGATGCCTTCTTGTGCGGACAGGCCAAAACCTTCAATGCCCCCCAACAACATCTGCATCTATAGCCTCACCCCTAAACCTCTGCGACCACAAGCCACACACACATATATATATATATATATATATATACATACATATACATGTATATATATATATATATATGTACATACACATTACACATTCTATTGTATGTGTGTTTCTATGTATACATGTCCACGTTTACCCCTTTATCTATCTATACCATATTGTTATCTCTTGGGCCCCCTGGACCTCGCAGGAGCAGCTCGACAACGCATCCAACACCAGCAGCGCAAGCGGTGCCTTCCTGAGACAGGGATCAGCTGGGGCAGGGTTTAGGGTTTAGGGTTTAGCGTTTAGGGTTTAGGGCAGGCTTTCGGGCTCTAGGATTCCAGGGTTTAGGGTTTAGGACAGCTTTCAGATTCAGGGTAAAGTTTAGGGTGTAGTAGGGCTTAAGGATTTTAGGGTTTAGGGCTTAAGGTCGAGAGGTTGGCGGTTCCGAGCTCAGGCGTCGCCTGCCACCCTCCTTGTGCTTGCATTGAAGCAGAGCTGGGGCCGGGGGCCTCTTGAAAGCTCCCACATACAATCTGAAATCGACACACAACTAGATGGGATCGTAGCCTAAACATCCCTGAACCCTCAACCTCACAAACCCTAAACCCTAAACCCTAAACCACAACTCGGATTCTAGCAAGTCCTCAGAATCCCAAAGCCGGGGATCTTTAAGCGCCCGAGCTCGCTCAGGATCCGAGTGCTGGCTCGTGGATACTGTCGCAGCTGCCAGAGAAAGGGCCCGAGTGCCTCAAACCCTAAACCCTGAACCTTAAACCCTAAACCCTAAACCCTAAACAGTAAACCCTAAACCCTAAACCCTAAACAGTAAACCCGAAACCCTAAACCCTAAACAGTAAACC